ATACTGGACTATAACTCCCATCGTCCTTGACCACTAGCCATGCTGGTTAGGGCTGATGGGAGTTGGAGTACCACAGGTTACTCCACAGAGGGCCACAGCTTCCCCATATCTGCTTTGTAAAAGGGGAAGTAGGGGGCATATGATAATTACCCACCCTTTTTCAACCTGCCCCATAACCTCCCTGTTTTCAGAGGTAGACAGGCAACAACTGAATGATGGTATTGAAAACACCTCATAGTAAATGATCATTTATATTCACCCATTAATGTATAGGTTGTAACCCTATACTTACTGGCTTGGGAAAAAGTTCCACTGAAGTCACTGGGGCTAACTTCTAAGTAGGCATTTATAGGATTTCGCTAACAGTGAATATAGCCCCTTGGGCAGATTGTTAACCTTCTACTGCACAATGAAAATGGGCACATAAGTATGTTATCTTGGTAGGTTGTTTACCAGCTTCTCAAATAGTTATATGCATACCCTAGGAACTTACCACATGATAATCATCTGGCTTCACTATAACTTGGAAACAGGCCTTGGGGGGAAAAATCTGATCTCCAACTGCTCTGCATTTGAGATTGTACATTTGTGCCCTTGCCATTTTGGTATTTTTCGATAGCTTGTCACTTGCTGTGAGCTGAAAATGTGCCCAGGGACCTGAGGACCCAGCGCAGCTAGGAGCTGCGATTGTATTTATTTGTTTCTGAATAATAACAGATGAGGTAATGCCAGTATCTGTCTTGATTCAAAGGAAAGAAACTCTTGTCCCTGATGGGGTGGTGGAATATTGTCATTATGGTTCGGTTTGAGTTGGTTATTTGGGGAAAAGATTTTCCCCCTTATGTTTTAATATTTTTAATACACAAATGATACATGATATTATAATGTTTTTGCTTTTGCAATTTGCTTTGTGTTTTCTTGTGAGAGGAAAGGTGTGATATGTATTTTTGAAAAATGAATAAAATATAAACAAAATCCCAATAGCATTGGGAAGGCAAATATATACCAATTCACTTGCAGGGCTGCCCACTTCACACTTCCCTCACTCCTGCCTTTTCCTAGCAGGGGGAAATGCTCAGTTGGAGGCAGGAATGATTCTGGTTTCTGGGTCCTGCTTGCTTCTTTCCTACGGGCATCTGGTTGGCCAATGGGAAGACAGGATGCTGGACTCGATGGGCCCATTGGCCTGACGCAGCAGGCTCTGCTTATGCTCTTATGAAACAAACCAAAGTGTGTTACGTGCAAAGCAATGTTCCTGTTTGGTTTCCTCCAGGTTGGGTTGTGCAACATTCATCTCCCTTGACTTTAAAAGCCTTTTTTAGTCTTGTCAATGTCATTTGCCTACTGTTGTTGATGGAACAAGTGGAACTGACAAAGCTCCCTTGAGCTCAGGGGTCTGAAGGAAGATCACTCAAAGCAAAGAAATGGCTTGGATCCTGCTTTGCAGAATCATCATAATAATAATAATAATAATAATAATAATAATAATAATAAATTTTATTTATATCCCGCCCTCCCCAGCCGAAGCTGGGCTCAGGGCGGCTAACAACAATAAAACAGTACAAAAGTACAACATAAACAACATTCTAAAATCATTCATTATAAAAATTAATTAATTCAAGCCACTAGCAACCATTGGGCCAGAGCTCCGCGAAGATTGCCGAGGGAGGGAGTCAGGCTGTGCCCTGGCCAAAGGCCTGGTGGAACAGCTCTGTCTTGCAGGCCCTGCAGAAAGATGTCAAGTCCCGCAGGGCCCTGGTCTCTTGTGACAGAGTGTTCCACCAGATCGGAGCCACAGCCGAAAAAGCCCTGGCTCTAGTTGAGGCCAGCCTAACTTCTCTGTGGCCTGGGACCTTCAAGATGTTTTTATTTGAAGACCGTAAGTTTCTCTGTGGGGCATACCAGGAGAGGCGGTCCCGTAGGTACGAGGGTCCTAGGCCATATAGGGCTTTAAAGGTTAAAACCAGCACCTTAAACCTGATCCTGTACTCCACCGGGAGCCAGTGCAGCTGGTATAGCACCGGGTGAATGTGATCTCGCAGCGAAGACCTCGTAAGGAGTCTCGCTGCAGCATTCTGCACCCGCTGGAGTTTCTGGGTCAGTCTCAAGGGCAGCCCCACGTAGAGCGAGTTACAATAATCCAGTCTGGAGGTGACCGTCGCGTGGATCACAGTGGCTAGGTCAGGGCGAGAGAGGTAAGGAGCCAACTGCTTAGCTTGGCGGAGATGGAAAAATGCCGCCTTTGTTATAGCTGCAATCTGCGCCTCCATGGAAAGGGAGGTGTCGAAGATTACACCCAAACTCTTAATGGACGGTGCTGGCACTAATTGCGCCCCCGCAAGAGATGGGAGTTGCCCCCCAATCCCATATCGCCCTGTCCCAGCCACAGGACCTCTGTCTTCGAAGGATTTAGCTTCAACCGGCTCCCACGTAACCATCCAGCCACAGCTTCCAAACATCTGGTCAGTGTGTCTGGGGCCGAGTCAGGATGGCCATCCATCAACAGATAGAGTTGGGTGTCATCGGCATACTGATGACAACCCAGCCCAAAAATCCGAACAAGCTGGGCGAGGGGGCGCATAAAGATGTTGAAAAGCATCGGGGAGAGTATCGCACCCTGAGGTACTCCACACACCAAGGAGTGGCGCGATGACAATTCCCCCCCAAGCGCCACCCTCTGTCCCCGACCAGAGAGAAACGAGCGCAGCCATTGAAGGACTGTGCCCTGGATCCCCACGTCGGCAAGGCGGTGGTCCAGAACTTCGTGATCGACCATGTCGAAAGCTGCTGATAGACCTAGAAGAATCAGCAGCCCCGACCCGCCTCGATCCAGCTGTCTACGAAGATCATCTGTTAGGGCAACCAGAGCCGTCTCGGTCCCATGACCAGCGCGGAAGCCGGACTGGAATGGATCCAGAGCCGATGTTTCATCCAGAAACCCACCAAGCTGTTCAGCAACCGCGCTCTCAATCACCTTACCCAGGAACGGAAGATTCGAAACCGGGCGGTAATTGGATAGATCTAAAGGATCTAATGATGTTTTCTTTAAGGGCGGGCGCACCACTGCCTCCTTCAGTTCCCCTGGGAATATCCCGGTGCCAAGGGACAAATTGATGATATCCCCCAGGAGGGCCCGCACCTCGTCTGGACACGCTCTAATCAGCCAAGACGGGCACGGGTCGAGAGGACAGGTGGTGGGCTTTCCAGCTCGGAGGAGTCTGTCCACATCGGCTGGGGATATCCGGTCGAAGTGGTCCAATACTGGACCCGAGGACAGTCGAGGGGCCTCCAGTTCATGTGAATTAAAGCCATCTCTCTTAAAACACCTGGAGTTTCTATTGGGAATACTTCCTATTGGAAAAGGTCATGTCAACTCAGCAAGCAGAGGCTGGGTGGAATTCAAAATCCACAGCAACCATACAATGGCGTGTCAGTGTTCCAAACTATGTGGACATCTTCTGCCTATGTGAACAAGGTACATTGATTTGGGATAAGAGCACAGCATCAACAATCTCTGAAACAACGTTGAGTGATCCTCGTCATGTAAACAGGACAGGCTCTTGGGAGTCCCATGAAAACAGTGCTTAGGGGCCTCATCATCTCCATTCTAACATTCACATTCCAACTTAGTGGTTTCCAAAGTGGGTGGTGCCCAGTGCTTTTTTCTGGGGGTACGCAGGGGTACACATACCGTGAATCTTTGTACTTTTGTCCATTTACTGTATTTATTTTCCCCAATATGAACTATAAAATTGTGATTTTCTTGAATCAAAATGAGGGTACCCCTAAACATTTTTTTAAAGAGAAAAAAGCACTGGTGGTACCATCCCATGAGGGGTGGGATTACCTAGCGAAGCCCTAAGAGGCAAGGGAGGTTCTGAAGATGTAAATGACTATTAGACACTGGGAACCATTGCACAGCAAGGAGCTTTTAAATTTTGCAGTGCCAGTGCCTGCAGTGTTACAGGAGCAAGACCTTTATTTTGGCCTATCTGTGTGACGGTTAAATTAGACCTTAGTAAATTAGACCTATAAAGGGACACGGGTGGCACTGTGGGTAAAAGCCTTAGCGCCTAGGGCTTGCCGATCGAAAGGTCGGCGGTTCGAATCCCCGCGGCGGGGTGCGCTCCCGTTGCTCGGTCCCAGCGCCTGCCAACCTAGCAGTTCGAAAGAACCCCCAGGTGCAAGTAGATAAATAGGGACCGCTTACTAGCGGGAAGGTAAACGGCGTTCCATGTGCTGCGCTGGCTCGCCAGATGCAGCTTGTCACGCTGGCCATGTGACCCGGAAGTGTCTCCGGACAGCGCTGGCCCCCGGCCTCTTAAGTGAGATGGGTGCACAACCCTAGAGTCTGTCAAGACTGGCCCGTACGGGCAGGGGTACCTTTACCTTTACCTTTAAATTAGACCTATAGTACATGCAAGAGGCCAGAGGAACATATAAAAGCAGAGTTATCTAGTTCTTTAAAGAAAGCTCAATTTTAAAAAAGAAATCTTGGTTCTATAATGAAACCTTGCTTTGGGTTTCTGTGTATGTGTGTGTGCTCAGGCTCAGGTGAGAAGAATGCAGCTGCCACTCTCCATATGTATACTCAGCTTTCCATCTACCTAAATTTATTCACCTCTTTTACATACTTGTCAGCTGTTCAGAGAAAGAAAGCAAAAAATAATCGCTTGGCTTGCGATAGGTGCTTGTGACTCTGTGTTCTAACTAATGGGCTGTTCTGTAGCAGGCTTACAGCTCAGCACACTGCTGCTGCATGAGGCAGAGTCAAGTTATGGAGGATGGGATTGAGGTGCGTCTCCTGCAGCTGGTCCAGGAAGACCCAGAGGGAGACAGAAGGATTTGGGAAGAGAGGCCCTTGAGAGGGAAAAAGTTCAAGGGACAAAGGCCTTGGAAGCAGGAGAGGCTCTGACGTATCTGATTGCCCCTGTTAAGAAGCAGAAACAAGGGACTGAATCCAACCTTATTACCGTTATTTCTTTCCTTTATTTATTTAGGATCAGGATCCAGCAGATGCAGAAATGGAAGATTAACAGACACTCAGTGAAAGGTATGAGCACTGCTTTGTGTGCCTGTGATAGGATATTGTTGTTGATGGCTGCGGGAACAGTGATCTATTGCTTGTTAAGATGTCGGTTTCTGGGCTATTCCAGATGAATGTTTATGGAGCATTTTTCCTGAAGAGCTTACACAATAGGAAGCCTTTTTCATTGAGCATTTGTCCTGATTTGTTTGCTTGCAGGGAGGTTTGGTGACAGTGAACATTCATCCTGATTTGCTTGGGCAGAGTTTATATGTCTTCCTGTTGACCTTTAATTTATCCCACACTTTGCAGAGTATTTCCGCATCACTTACCTAAAGGTGGAGGGAGGAATTCAAAGTTGCACCAAGGCTATCTGTTAACACAACTATTTTGGCTTGCCAGGTGGAACGATCTCACCTCTTTCCCCCTCACTTATCTGGGGGTTCTTTCAATGCTCCCAAGCAGATTTTTTTGGGTGCTTTCACCCACTCTTTAGCTCTAAACCCATTCTAAATCAGAGTGCTTCAGAGCGCTTTCCCCTGCAGGTAAGCATCAGGACCAGAGGAAATGTGAGTAAGCCCAAACTATGCAGTCCTAAATTTCCAGTAGGTGCTTGAATCAAAGCACTGACTACCCAGAGGCGTCCTCTAACTATTTTGAATCTCTATTTCTGATGTGCTTTGTTATGCCTGAATGACATTTGCTCTGATTTGCATCCTTTCATTTTGCAGTACAAGCGAGCTGCCTAACAGATGCCGCCTTGCTCCCATGATGGATGTGCCTAGCATCAAAGACTTCCAGTGGAAAACTCTGGCACCTCTGCCCAGCCGGAGAGTCTATTGCTCCCTGGTGGAGGCTGGTGGTCAGGTCTATGCCATTGGGGGCTGTGATGACAATGGTGTCCCAATGGACTGTTTTGAGGTGTACTCCCCTGAAGCCAACCAATGGAATTCTCTCCCCCCAATGCCTACAGCCAGGGCTGGGGTAGCTGTAGCAACACTGGGCAAGAGGATAATGGTGATCGGGGGTGTTGGAGCCAACCAGACACCCTTGAAGATTGTGGAGATGTACAACATAGACGAGGGCAAATGGAAGAAAAGGAACTCCTTGCGGGAAGCCTCGATGGGGATCTCTGTGACGGCGAAAGGCAAGGAGGATTCTTTTTCTAAAAGGCACTGGTGGCAAAAATAGGATTGGCTTTTAGGGAAGCTCCCCACTGCATTTCTCCTAATGAATTTGATGGGCAGGGTGGAGTAAATGTCTTCTTACATGGAAACAGATCTGCCCAGTGGGGAGCACTTAGCCAATTTCTGCTACGCTGTGAATGTGTCCTGGCTTTGACCCTTGCACACTGGTTGTTGGAATGACCATCTTTGAATTGCTTTGGGTAAAATCAGGTGATTTTCAGCAGCCCAGTCTAGAACGGGCTGTGAAGGCTGCCTTGTAATTGGAGCACACCATCTGTTTCTGTGACCTCCTCTTTGCTTGTAAAAAAATGTCAATACAGCCAGCATGTTCTGTGCTCCTGCCAAATGTAGGACAGCCTGGTGGGGTTTTTTTTTGCAGTTCAGTTTGAAGGACAAATCATCGAGGGCACAAGCGATGTGAAAGCATCAGGTCACTGTATGAAATCTGTATGAAAGTTTGCCTCTATATAGTAGAGTTTCAAACTCCACATATTCCCCTCCACCAAACACACCCATATCTGTTTGCTTCCTGTGACAAGTTGCTTTAGCAACTCTAAGCATTGCCAGATTGTTTTGCGCTGCAATGTGATGAACTGCTATTGGGAAGGGAAGGTTTCCATCTCAAGTGGCCGTGTGCCTTGCTTTACAGAGGGCTGCCAGAGGACCAAACTCTTATCTGAAAGAGTCTTCTATTTGAAGGGTTGTCCAGTTTAAAAATACTGTAATGAGCTAGAAGATGCTGCTCATAAATAGGTAGCAATAGGTAGCATATTGAAGAAGCACACAGATCACCTGGCCACTGTCTTCCCCACTGGAAAGAGATTTATTTCTGTTTTAATTATAGCAACTACATATATATTTGCATCCATTCCTATCAGTTAGCACACTGGTCTTAAACTGGTGGGTTGCAGCCTGATCCAAGGTGGCTCTCAACAGGATTATTACCACCATGCAAATACATGGTAAAAGATTAAGAAATTAGACCGAATGCATGTTTGGGCTAAAATTTACTCCTAGGTCTGAAAAGGTTGAAGATACTTGAATTAGCATATCCTAATTTTATGAAGGTCTTTTGCCTTGTTTGGGGATGATGCAGTTCCTCTTTTTGGGTGATTTTTCCATCCTTTGGGTAGAAATATATGGAATCCAAGGCAAAAATTTTTAGTTGTGGTACCTATTTAGGAACTACTGTGATAAAGCAGAATTGAGATTCTTGTTTGGATTTATCCTTTTGCTTTTCCTCTCTCTTTGCTGTCCTTTTCAGACTACAGAATCTATGCAGCTGGCGGAATGGGAGGAGACCTTCGCCCTCACAATTACATGCAGCATTATGACATGCTCAAGGACATCTGGGTGTCGCTGGCAACCATGCCCACACCCAGGTATGCCGCAACTTCCTTCCTACGGGGCACAAAGATCTATGTGCTGGGTAAGAATGAGCCTCCAGCCTATTCCTCTGACCATTATTCCTTTGACTGGAGAGTCGCCTAATGCTCCCTCCTGCAGAGGTTCTTGAAGCTGCTCTCTTCCATAACCTCTCTAAAAGTGCTAGGCATTCTGTGGGATTAGCAATGTCAGCTCTGTAGCTGGGCCTCCAGGTCCATTTTTTTATGCCTAAAACCATGGGCTGCATTTATTGCACAGGAGAGATAAAATAATGTTGCATGAACAGAGCTCTGCCTTTACAATATTTTTTAATTAAAGGGCAAGCAAGACATGATTGACACTCACAGAAGGAGGTATTTGTTCACCCAGAGCATAGTTAAATTGTAGAATTCACTGCCACAAGATTATTTTTAGAATGTTTTAACTGCTTTTCCTCTTTTGTTTTTAAATTGTGGAGCAGTTTGCTGCTCCCTGGCTTCTTCAGAAGGATGGTCAGGAGATAAATTCAATAAATAAAAGAAAATAGGATGTTGGCCTTTGCCCTGACCAGACTGTGGTGTGCTTACATACTCACAAACTGTTCACTGTTTAAAGGGGTTCCAATCTGCTGCCTGAGGGGACTACCGCACTCTGTGGTAAATCCAAAAGGTAAATTCATACCCTTTGGCACACAAATGGACTGCTTATGCTCCCATTTCATTTTCTGACTCTTGTGCAAATTGCTCAAACCCTGTGTGTTCTGGTTCCCAGCTCTGTAAGTTTAAAGCAAAGCTAAACAGAAGTAGAGACAGCCTGACTTGGTCTAGTACCCATAGTATTAAGATATATCAAGGTTGTTTGTTTTTAATCAAATTAATTAAAAATAATCAAATTGATGGCCTTTAAAAAGTTTTAAAAGAAACAAGCAGGTAGAGAAATGGAACTTTATTGCTTTGAGCTAAAATATTTCCAGTAAACTTGGCATGACACTGTCCCAAATGCACATGTACTTTGAGAAACTGTAAATATTCCTTCTAGGAGGGATCCAGAGGTTAAAAAAAAAGACCAAGGGATTGGGTGCCAGACTTCCACTGGCTTTTATTTTTAGCCTTTCATAGTTTACCCCAGCTGATCATGGCAGAACAACAGAAGCAAAAGAGACTTGTAGAACTGTAAAGTCTAACAGATTTATGGCAACATCAGCATGGATGTTTATGCTACAATAAATCTGCTAGTTCTTAAGGTGCCACAAGATGCCTTTTTGTTTTTGCATAACTGTTTCTAAAATACTTTTCTGTTTACCCTCTGGCTGTATAAATAGCTTTGTATTGTCCGTTAGGTTCTATTTTCAGCCTTATTCCAAGGGCTCAGGGTAGGGCACCATTTTACTGGCCCTGCTTTTGTGCCATTGGGTTCCTCCCAATGACTCTTTTGGGGGGCTTTCGTCCTGGTTTGCTTGCACAAAGCATAAGAGCATACGAAGAGCCTGTTGGATCAGGCCAAGGGCTCATCTCGTCCAGCATCTTGTTCTCACAATGGCCAATCAAATGCCTGTAGGACGTCTGCATTTCAGACATGAGCACAACAGCACTCTGCCCACCTGAGAGTCTCAGAAACTGATATTCAGATGCAAAATGCCTCTAAGAGTGAAGGTAGAACATAGTGTATGTGCTGGTTAGGCCATGCCTGGTTTTCACTGAGCATTTGTTCTGTTCTGTTGGTAGGATGATTATATGACAATGCACACTCATCTTGCATTCATCCTGATTTTTCTGGGATGTGTTTACCGGTATATGTCTTCCCATTAGCCTTTAGTTCATCCAACACTTTTCAGTGCTTTTCCCCATCACTTTTACTTCCTGTAAAAGTCCATTTTTATGTTTGTTGCACTGGGATGACAGAGTGCTTTAATCCACTTTAATTGTGCATACTTAAATTTCCAAATGGGTCTTCTTTACAACCCATCACCTTCTTTCCCTTCTTTCTGACCATTGCCTCTACTGTACTTAGAAGCATGAGGAGAAGACTTTCTGTATGCTACTCTCTGAATGAACCAGTACTCTGTGGCAACCATGCATGATGTAAAGAGTGCTTTGGCGATCAAATTGCATTTTGAAACTTGTGCAGGGAACCGTGTTATTTTTGTTTACTTTACCATAAGGAATCATTTCCAGCTGAACTGGAGAGGGGGGGTGAAATGTACTGAACTAACAAAGATGGACAGTGTTTGTCTATCAGCAAAAACAAAAAAAACACACTCTAATGCTATTCTAGGCTGTATCAACAGAAGAATCATGTACCAATCAAGGGAAGAAATAGTCCCACTCTATTCTGCCTTGGTCAAGCCATACCTGGAGTATTGTGTCCAGTTTGGGGCACCACAGTTTAAGACAAATATCGGCAAACTTGGGATGTATGCAGAGGAGAGAGACCAAAATGATCCAGGGTCTGGGAACCAAGCCTTATGAGGAATGGTTGAAGGAGCTGGGTATGTTTAGCCTGGAAAAGAGGAGACTAGAGGAGATGATAGTCATCTTCAAAGGGCTATCACATGGAGGATGGAGCAAGCTCATTTTCTCCTGCTCTGGAGGCTCAGACCCAAACCAATGGATTGAAGTTGGAAGAGATTCCAACTTAACATTAGGGAGAACTGTCTGACAGTAAGAGCTGCTTGACAGTGGAACAGACGTCCATGAGAGGTGGTAGAGTCTCCTTCCTGCTGTCATGTATGATCTAGTTGAGATTGCTGCAGTGCAGGGGATTGGACTAGAAGGGGCCCCTTATTTACTGAGCCCTCACAGCTAGGAATAGTGGCAGCTGGTGCCCTGTAGAGGGACTGCTTGGAAGTCACAGGGAAAGGGCAAATGAGTGGTCACAGGGGTGTGGGCAAGTTGTCATTGTTTTCTCCCCACCCACCTCCCTTGCAAAGCTACCTTTATAATTTCACAAAGCGTGTTCTCCCTAAACAGAGAGCATGTGTTGCGGTTGGGGGAACAGGCCACCCTACAATGACTTGGCAAATTGTTAGCAACCCAAGCATTTAAGGGTTAAATGGGTTGCTGGGGGAAGACTAATTTGGCAATTGGAGGAGGGGTTAGAGGCTATATATACAGGGGCCAGAAGAGGGAACGCCCTCTTGGCCGTTTTGAACTGGATCACCCGCCCTCCCGCCCTTTTATTAGGGTGGTTTTGCTCGCTTGACCTTGCTATTGCCTGTCATGGGGTCGTTCGCCTTTGAGCGGGGGCCTAGTAGGAATTTTGCCATTTGGCTGATTGGCTGGTGCCACTTGGTTTTTGCCTACTACGTAGCAAATCGTCACAACTTGTAAGGTTGGCGGTTAGGCATTGGTTAAATGGTGCTTGGAGGGGTAAGTGCCTACCCCTCCAAATGATGCGAATGGGAATTCCGTTAAAGGAAATCCAGGGGCTTGACATTCTTTCGTCCTTGTCCCCGGAGTCGGACTTGGGCCGGTCAAGACCCCACCGGAACATGAGGGTGAGAGGTGTTAGTCTGATTTCCCAGCTTCATTCTCACCCAATACTTGTTTCCCACGCTGGCTTCCGTTGGTGTCCGGAAGGCCAGCTCTGTCCCTGAGGGCAAGGACAGATAGTCATAACCAATGCCTAAGCAACCACTCACGTTTTGTATTTGAATAAAGTTGTGGCCAAAATTATGCCAAAAACCTTAAACAAAAATTGATGTGTGAAGTGTGAGTTTGTTGGGGGTGGCTTGTGGGACTCAACACGCAAAGAGCACATGTGGTTCACAGGGGTCCCTACTGTCACAGTTGCTTCTCTGCTGGGAGATAAGTCATATGGCTTCCATCCTATTCTGGTTCTCTCCCTATCTTCCTTTTTTGCAAAGAAACAGCGGGCACTTAAAACACTGCAGATTTGTTAATACTCCACATTTAAGTGTTGTTCAGAAGGGGCTCCTGCCATGACTGTTACTAGTGGGGAGGGTTCATGCCATTGAAACTGTACATTACTCAGAAGTACCGTAAGCCCTGCCAAATTCCATGGGAGTTCACTCCATGATAAGTATGTACAGGATTGCTGTCTTAAAGGTTTCATGCAGGACTGTTAACAAGGGACCCCATAAACCTCCAAATTTGTGAGAAAATATTATTCCCCTATTTCCCTGAATATCCCTGCTACATCTTTTTCCCTCAGAATGTGGAATAAAGCGTAGAGTTATTAAGCACACTGGGACCTGAGAGACCAGGGTTAAATCAGCCATGAAACTCCATGTGACCTTGAGCCAGTCACTGTCTAGTGTTTTACATTTGGGTAAATTGCAGGGGGCAGAGACTCTATGGCTCATTGCCATCGCTTCAGTATACTTTTGGATTAGGGTTGGCTGTGTGCTCCAGAGACCTGCTAGGCCAGAGAATAGTAGACCCCCATGGCTCCAGTTGCTGCTGCACATTCTTCACTATACTCCCTTCTCCATCCTAGGAGGAAGGCAATCCAAATATGCCGTGAATGCCTTTGAAGTCTTTGATATCGAGACCAGGTCGTGGACCAAATTCCCCAACATCCCCAGCAAACGAGCGTTCTCCAGCTTCGTGTGCGCAGAGAACAACATCTTCAGCCTGGGGGGTTTGCGGCAGGGCAGGCTATACCGTCAGCCCAAGTTTATGAAGAATGTGGATGTGTTTGACATCGAACAGGGTGAGTTCTTCCTGGTTTTCCATCTGATTTTCAGCATGCATGCCTTAAGGGCAAGATGCGGGGTGGGAAATCAATTTCAAAAATTTCAGATTCTCCTACTGAGGGCTGGCTTCAGATTTTAGGGAGCCCTGGGCAAAGGGTCATCAGGTGGCCCCACTAGTGAGATGCCTCAGTGGGAGGCCCCTCCAGCAACCTACCTCTGCAGTGGTTCAGCAGTGGGTATATGCATTCTTGAGAAATCGAGGTGCTTATAGTGTGCTTTCAGTTACACAAGTCTCTGTGCTCTTGTCTGCTCCCAATCAAATGATAAAAGGGGAGGGCTTGACCAAACCCAAGCATCGGCAGTGGTGGGCCTTGCTGAGGCCTTGGAGCCCTGGCATTTGCCTTAGTATGTTGTGCATTGCCTCTGGCACCCTCATTACTTCAACCGTTTGTGCCCAGTATTCTTGTAGACACATATACCCCAAACCCTCTCTTAGTTCCCCAATTTTAGGATTATAGAACACACCCTTGATTTTTCTCTGAAGGAATCCAAATGCTTCAAAACATTAATGGAAAACCATGATTATTTAGCAGGTGGTCTTGTTAATTTTCAGGGGGCTGGATGAAGATTGAGCGCTCATTCTTTCTGAAGAAACGACGGGCAGATTTCATATCCGGCTACTTGAAAGGAAGAATTGTTGTAGCTGGTGGCCTAGGTGAGGGTGACTCCTGTCCTGTTTCAGTGTGAAGTCATTATTCTATAGCTTGTGGAACTATATTACCATAAAATTATTGCTGCTACAAGGATGGCAGCTACTATATTTGAGGCCCTTCTCAGGTCCCCTTCTATGCACAAAAAGACAGAAAATGATCATGCATGCTAATGTGGTATGAGCATTTTGTAGACATAATCCTACATACTCCATCAGTTTTATGAAGAATTAGACTGGGGCTAGACAGTGCAATGTCATCCCTCTCCCCCAATATTTTGGACTAGAACTCTTATCACTCTGATCAGACCACACTGGGTGAGACTGATGGGAATTGATGGGTAGAAGTAGAGAAGGGACAAATGAGGAAGAACCAAAGTGAGAGAGCCGAAGATCATTGGAACTCTAAGACCAAGCCAAACCAAACTTGAGTTATCATCCTCATAAACATGTGGAGCAAATGAACACAATCAATATCATTCATATGTGTGTGTGTATACACAAACACATATGCACACACATGCACACAAATGCACACATATACACACTAGAAGCAGCAAAGGTTGGTGGTTTATTCTTTATAAACAAACCCTTAGTTTAAATTAGCTGTGTAGACTTGTGCAATCAAGTATCCGTGTGTGCTCACATGTTCTCTTGATGGTCTTCATGTTTTCTCGCTTATTAGGAAACCAACCAACTGTACTGGAATCAGCTGAGGCCTTTCATCCTGGAAAAAACAAATGGGAGAGCCTTCCACCTATGCCCACCCCACGATGTGCCTGCTCTAACATTGTGGTAAAAAACTGCCTCCTGGCTGTAGGTGGAGTGAATCAGGGCCTGAGTGATGCAGTGGAAGCTCTGTGTGTCTCTGACTCCTAGCCGGCCTGTCTCCAGATGCCACACCAAGCACCTAAGAAAACGATTAGCCTACAGTTTTGAGCGGTGGGCCTACACCATCCCTCTCACTCACTACTATACGGCTTTCCTGTAACTCCTTTCACTGTGTGTTTTGGAGAAGGTAGTTTCTTCAGGCAGCTACACAATTTCATGGCTCTGGTGGCTAGCAGAGGCCCTGTGGCAATGTCAGTTTTGCAAGCTCTGTTGAGCTCCACCACCTGATGAATCTATGGTCGCTTTTCTCTGTCGACTCTGGGCAGCCAAGGAACATGCTAGCTTTGCTTCAAAACAGAAAAGATGCATAGAATGGTGTGGGATATTCCAGGCAAGAATTAGGAAGCATTACCTAGGAACTAGAAGCATGTTTTGGATACAGTTGTTGAACCTACCATTGGGTTTTTCACAGGTAAACAAAGGGAGTGCTGAATCCCAGAGGCAGGGAGAGAGAGAGAGTTTCCTGGTGCCCTTTGAAATGGACCCCAAAAGTTCTGGCTGTGGTGTTGGGTTTCAAAGTGTTCAGGGTTTAAAGCATCCAGAATGAATTTCCAGGGTGCTTCCTCATCATGCAGCTAGAGGGATGGTGAACCAACCCAATTTGTTGCCTTGATTGACAGTTCCTGCAATTAAAAGTTCCATATTGCCTCTGCCAGAGGCTGAAGGCTAGAAGGCCATAGTTAAGAAACCAATTTATGGACAGGGATGGCTCTGCACCATGGACCAAGATTGCAATACCTGCAATGCACACTCTCATGAAGTGTGTGTGTGCACAGAGACACACACACACTTTTCAAGTTGTTCATATCCTGTCCATTATACCCAAGGGGCCAGCTGTAAAACCTGGAGTGAGCTTATTGTAGCCCATGTTTGGAGAGCAGGAATGTTATGGGGTCTGCTCATAACAGCTTTCACACAGCGCCCACGGCAACAGCAAAGCTTTGAGTACCTGCTGTTTTTATTGTATTTCATATATTGTTTTCTTTATTACTTTGGCACAGAGGTTGAACTTGCCAGTGTCATCTGAATTATGTATGATGGATCAGTTGTAGCAGTTCTGCTTAGGTATTAGTAAATAGCACAAATAAACTATTCTTATGGTAACCTCTGAGCACCTTTTATATACAGCTACAGTCATGACAAATCCAAAAGAGGGCTGTGAACTTGCTTTGAGGGCATTTCCAGATTGTCGCTATTTTCAGGTGGGTTTCAGTCGCATTCAGACCAATTACAGCTGACTGGTTGCTCTTGTGCAACAAGCCCACTTCCTCCTAAAACACTGGACTTTTTGTGATAAGGAAAGAGACGAGGAAATGAACTGGAACATCTAGGGTGACATTTGCTTGATGCAATGTCAGGCTTGTCCACACAGGAGCAAAATGTGGATTTGCACCAGTTTGTCTCCCCATTAATTTAGGGGTGTTCGTATGATATCCATCTCATCCTGGTGTTGTCCTGGATTTTTGGCCCATGGAAAGTCTGAGACAGCAATGTAATGTGTGCCAATGCTGCTGCATCCCACAATGTTGTGTAGACACCTTGTTCCTTGGTTTTGTTCCTGATTCTCTTCTGGCAGCTTCTCTTTCCGTGCCAACTCTTCATTTCACTTTAGTAAGTGATTGTGTGAACTTCTGGCTTGCTGCTTTCGGAACCCTTTTCCTCCTCTCAGGCAAGAGGCTTCTGCTGCTACCTAGGGGTGAACACTTTAGGAAATTGTTCTCCCCACCTGTTTCTCTTTGCCAGCACCATGGGGAGGGGGAGGGGGAGGGGTTGTGGGTGTAGGGGGGGACAATTGTTTCACCCTCTTGCCCCATCCATACTTCAGCTTAATGTGGATTGTGAGCCCCCTTTCCCTTCCTAAATCCTCAGATTCCCTATGCTTTGAAAATCTGCGTAGGAGAGCCACATCTTTGGATCCAGGAAATCTTGGGAACTGGATCTGGCTGGTAGGCCAGATTCTTACCTCTCCCACCTACTGTGAATCAATTTGCAGATTAGTGGGGTCACCCACCTGTCAATAAACTGCTGCTGCTGTTTTATTAAGTCATTTGCCAGCTGACTGCAGAAGAGAGTAGCGGAGTAAGAGTAGCTTCAAATAGTTACAACCCCTACTCTCTATAATGCAGATGCTACATCCCATCCTGCAGGCGATAACACTGATCTAGTGTGCTTACTCCTGCCAAAATTACATACTTGGAAGTCCCACTAGTTTCAAATGTAAAAATAAGCACATGCTTAAATCTTGCATTGAAATAAATGGGACTTACGAGTGCTTAACTGTGTTTGAATTGTGCCATGTATGATAATGGGGACCAGATGCATATGTACCCCAGGGAGTACACATAGCCGAGAAGTAAGTTAACAAAAAAATGTGTTGTGTAACCATAGCATTGGCACAGGGGAAAAACCTTCATGCTTTCCCAAGTGGCAGCATCCAGTCTTCTTATCATGTTGTACATGTAATAATAAAGTCACTTGGCCTAGAAGGAAAATAGGATTTAGCACACTGCAGTCTCAGCCCATGTTGTTCAGAACAAGTTGCGGAGGTGAAAGGGGTGGAGGAACCTGCGCGGTGGCTTAGCGAGAACCGATCTGGAGTGTAAATGGTCTAAGCCTCTTGCCGCCTTTAGAACGCTGTTGCTTTTAATCCGTGTTTCTAATATGGCAGGAGCTGTAGCAAGAGCTTCTGATGTGGCATACAAAGGCCGGCTTTCCTCTGGTGCACTGATAGAACCATCTGTGCTAATCCTCTGCCCCTCCTGAACTGGCAGATGATGCAAAGGCTGGCAGCGAATGCCTCTGAAAAACCTATTCCCGTGGCACAGAACTCCCCAGCAAGCAAGCCATCCCTCTGCTTTCCTGCCGCGATTCAATAGCACCCCAAACAGAGGGAGAGATGGGAGGAAATATCAGATATACTTATCTTGGAGAAAGAAGATTAAAGGATGCTTTGTACAGAAGAAAATTTCCCTACCAAAATGTTGGAGGGGTGTGTGAATATTAGCGGTTTGTATCCAATGTTAATCCTACACAGGGTATACCCACTGAAATGAATTGAAACAACTAACTTAGGCCCATTAATTTAAATGGATCTACCCTGAGTATGTTGGACACAACTCAGTGTGAGAGAATATTGTGTTTTTTTATACCGCACATACACATGTTGGTTGCACTATGATCCTGCTATATTTCTGCAGTCTGCTGAAGGTACCAACTAAGACCTTAGCAGATTTTAGCTGTGGATAAACTGATGATGCCCCACATAGCCCTATTTGCTTCAGAGAGCAGTGAAGCGCCACCAGGGTTTTCTAGGACCAACTCCTAAACTAGTCTGTTTCCTATTACCCGCAGGTGTGATAAAGGATACTGTTCTGTCTTGAAGTAAGATTCAACAGACAATCCAGCCATGGCTGCGGGGAAGGGGACGTTGTTCTGTGCCTGAGGCAGGAACAGGTATTGAGTGAGCGGTGCAAATAAGGCATTGTTTCAGCTCTTCAGCTATTCATTAGCTGTGCTTTGTATAGTTACTCAGCTGACCCTCCACACAAAGACTACTCTGAGATTCTCTCCTGTTCCATAATGTACCTTTTGGCTATAGGTGAGTGGCACTGGAGCATTGCCTATTGGGCTGTACAGAAATGTAGTAAACAAACAAACAGACTATGCAATACTCCCCACCCCCCAAAGGTAATTTAAAATGAGGAAGCAAGATGGAGCAGTAATTCTAGGCAATAGCAGAGGAAATTTGCAGATGGCGGGTTTGGCCTCAACAAGGAGATCAAAAAGACTATCATGGGACAACAACTTGCGTTAGTTGGGCAGGAAAGAGAAACCTTCCCAAGTCTGTAGGAACTGACTCAAGGCTTGCAAGACACTAAATATTGCTGTAAGTTTGAGGAATTAGAATTTCTATATTGCAAGCTACTAGTTTAGTAGAGGGATGGGGAATATTTGCATATCCTCCAACATTTGTCTAATGAAAATAGGTACATCCTATTCCATAATAATAATTTTATTATTTGTACCCCACACATCTTACTGGGTTGCCCCAGCCACTCTGGGAAGCTTCCAACATATATAAAAACACAACAAAACATTAAGCATTAAAAAACTTCCCTATACAAGGCTGCCATCAGATGTCTTCGAAAGGTTGTATAGTTACTTAACTCCTTGGCTTGGGGGTCGCATAACTCCATACCCTCCAAAATTTATCTGATGAAAATAGGGGCATCCTAAGGGAAAGTGGAACATTCTAGGATCAAATCAGAAACAGGGATGGTTTCTGCAAATCCAGGACTGTCCCTGGAAAATAGGGACATTTGCCCTGCTCCCCAAGATGTTGCTGAGCTCCAACTCTCATCAGCCCCAGACAACTTGGCCCACAGACAGGGATGATGGGAGTTGTAGTTCAGCAACATCAGGCCCTCCAGCCCTGTTTCAGTGCCTCCTCATTTCTATTGCAGCTTTATAGCCTGAACTTCACAATTGCTAAAGAAACAAATACATAAACTAACCAGAACCCAAATGGAGATTTTTCATGTCCCCCCCACCACAAATTCAGACTGGTAGCTAAAAATATCCAGGGCTGTAAGAAACTACTGTAATGTGTCTCTGAGGTGGCATTCCTGTGAAGCTCTGAGGACATCTTGTGGAGTTTCTCGCAAACAACAACTGGAAGCTTAGTTCAGGATATTTGCAGTTCAAGCAACGGTGGATAAATAGCAGTCCCTCCTGCCTCCCTTAATCAGAAATGGACAGTAAGACTCAATCCAGTTCCAGAATGAAGAATCCAGTCTTCACCTGGAGATTTGATAGCTTTGACTAAGCTAGAATTGCCTTCCCATGTAGTTTTCCTGTGATACATGGTGGATCCGTTTCATTGTTATTTATTAGCAAAATACCCATCATTATGAGAATCATAGAACTGTAGAGTTGGAAGGGACCCTGAGGCTAAGTCAGGAATATGCAGCTACCCCATAGGGGGGTCAAACCTGCAAACTTGACATTGTCAGCACTAGGCTCTAATCAACTGAGTTCTCTAGGTTGTCAGCAACGTTTAATCTCTACAACAACCCTGTGAGGTAGGTTAGGCTGAGGAGGCAGGGACTGGCCCAAGGTAACCCAGTGAGCTTCATGGGCAAGCGGGGGTTTGAACCCTGGTCTCTCAGGTCCTAGTCCAGCACTCTAACTGCTACACCATACTGGCACCAGTAACAGCAACTCATGGGGTGGAGGCAGAGCCAGTGATGTCCAACCAGCAGTGGCAGGATTGCAGTCATTGGGAAGGGGCAGGACAGCAGTGAAGTTGGGGTGCTCTGGGGCACACACACCTGCAGATGCTGCTGCTGCCTCTGCTCCCCCTCACGAGCCATTGCAATCCTATACATGAGTACACTCGGTTGAACTCAGTGGTGCTTACTTCTGGCTGCACATGTTCGCTTTGTAAAGGACATTGAACCACAACAAAAGATCTTCAGCCAACTTTAGTGTTTTATGTAGAAATGCACAACAACTTGCAAAGAAGCATTGCCATTTAAATGTGATATAGGAATCCCACTGAAGTACAGGAAAGAATTATCCAGCCTCTGCTTGATGATCTTCCTCAGCCTCTGACTTCCACCATGCTAAACTGTCACAAACTTGAAAGCCTTGTTAACACCTCATTCAGTTACCAGAGCAAGAAGATTCCATCAACTTCCACAATGTTCCAGTTGATGATATCACACCAGCTCTGGGGGGGGGGGGGAGCCCTGGAGCTGGACTTCTCTACATACTCTCTCCACTGCACTGTCTATATCCCGTTTGGACTACTGCAATGCACTCTATGTGGGGCTACTTTTGAAGGTTACCCAGAAACTACAACTAATCCAGAATGCAGCAGCTAGACTGGTGACTGGAAGCGGCTGCCGAGACCATATAACATTGGTCTTGAAAGACCTACATTGGCTCCCAGTGTGTTTCCGAGCACAATTCAAAGTGTTGGTGCTGACCTTTAAAGCCCTAAACAGCCTCAGCCCAGTACACCTGAAGGAGTGTCTCCACCCCCATCGTTCAGCCCAGACACTGAGGTCCAGCTCCGAGAGCCTTCTGGCAATTACCTTACT